ATATATGCAGTGTATTATTTGTTGAAACTGTACTTTCGATTTGATTTGAAACTGTCTCATTGCTATATGTTTATCAATAAAACTTTGAAAAGGAAAAAAAAAATAAAAAAATAAAGAAATGGAACCTAAAAAAGAAACAAACGGAAATTCCAAACACGGACAGTACTACAGCTGAAGTGAAATGAGTCACTATCTGATCTCAGAAGCAGATGTGATATGTTAAAAGAGCCAGTGGATCTGAAGATACACAAAGAGATATTATAAATCTGAAGAGCAGAGAAAAAAGACGAAAAGAAAGAGAACTTCAGTGACCCATGGAACAATGCCAAATCTTCCAACATGTGATAGGGAAAAAAAAAGAAAATTATTAACTTGCTGATCCAATAAATCCAACAAATTCCAAGTGGAATAAAAAAGAAAACTACACCTAGATAGAACACAGGTAAACTGCTGAAAACCAAAGACCAAGAGAAAAAACTTCTACAAAACACAACTCAAGACACTATTTAAGGGGGCCAGAGAGATGGTTCAGTGTAATAAGCACTTGCCTGGCAAGTGAAAGGGCCTGAGTTCAATCCCCAGTTCCACCAAAAAAAAAAAAAAAAAAGACACTGTTTAGGACATAATTATAGGTAGGAAAAGCACAAAGGTCAATGATAAACACTAAATTTAGAATAGGGAAGAGAAAGAATAATAAAATCAGGCAGTAATTACAGGAAGTTAAAATTATATTTCTACTTTATTTGGTAACCTGGGTTCTGAGTTTAGGGTATACATTACAATATTCTCTGTATCTTTCTGAATGTTTCAAATATTTCAATCACAAAAAAGTTATCAAAAGAATAAATCCCTCTACTATATGAGGAAAAAGGGGAGGGGACTATTTTTAGTTTCATGAGTTTTTTTATAATAAAGTACATTTTCATATTGCTTACAAGAATTCATTTACAAGTTATAAAGAAAAATCACCTATGTGACTGTAACCCTAAAGGCATTTGCCCAGTATGAGAAACTATGTACCATTTTCAATAATTAGTCTGTAGCATCATAATGAAAATCTCACTGACTTTTACTTATAAGCTTTACCTTACAGCTCCAGAGCCATTCCACACTGCGGGACACTGGGAACAATACGGCCATTCTTTTGAATCTAATCTATTATCAATGGCATCCTAGGGAAGAAAAGAGTTAAGACCATCAAGAAAATGTTGTTCTGCTCAGGCAAGTGCAGGGACAGGGGTTTGATCCCTGGTAGTGTATGTCCTGCTGGACCCGCCCCTGGGCGCACTGAGCCAGTCACTGAGTCTGGGTGTGGTGGCATATGCCTGTTATCCCAGTGCTGGGGAGGCAGAAAACAGGAGGATCACTACGAGTCCATGCTGCATAGTGAGATCCTGTACCACAAAAAGAACAAGAAAAGAAAAAAATGTTGTAAATTCAGGACTGTTGTGTATAAAGGTAAAAACTTGTATTTATTACTAATAAACATTAAAGACATGACATATAAATATTTAATAAAGTTAAGCCTTTCTTTAAACTTACAAATATTGCTCCAAAAAGTAACACAATCATGACTTTTTTTTTACTTTTTATTTTTTATTATTATTATTTTTTTTTTTTTGGTGGAACCGGGGATTGAACTCAGGCCCTTGCACTTGCC